CCTACTTAGGAGCTTCAGGGTGCCCCGATGTTCACTGGCCTCAGTGTTTGCTCGCTGAGCCTCTCTTTGCAATCTCAGATTTCACTGTCTCAGGGGAAATATCTGTTCTCAGTGCCATTGTGTGATTTGTAAACTGCACATTCTTAAACCAGTATCTCCTTTCAAAAGTGAAATGGACTCTTATTCCTCCTAACAGGCATATTGGAAGGTCTCAGAAGATAAAAAAGCAAAATGCGCAGAAAAGGGGAAATCAAAACAGGTAACTTCTGCAAGCTACCAAAAACACACAGGTATTTCCTAGTTGTTTTAATCTCCTGAATGCCATGACTTCTGGAATGCAGCCTGGGCATTTTGTTCAGGTCTCTCAGGACTCACCTTGCAGGTTACCCCTTTATTCCCAAATGGTGAGAGTGCATCTCTCAAAGTAAGTGCTAAACACAGTAGTCATTTGAGAAATACTTTTTAAAGTTTAATTGAATTTATTCAAACGGCCCTGGAAAATGATTTCCGGTGCCTATTGTCTAACAGCGTAAAATGCAGGGTTCATGTCTCCCATACTCCATCAGCCTGGAGGGGTTACTATAGGATTTCTGGATTTTTGGTAACACCATCCCTTGAGAATCTGCCCCTTCTGCAGGAGATACTGAGCAGGTCAGTGTGGTGGCCATCCAGGGAGTGCTGGACCGAGTGTCAGAGTGTCGGTGTGGTGGCCGCATGAGGAGCTGGGCTGAGTGTCCCTCTCCCTCCAGAGCTCTGGGTTACCCCCCACCCTTCCCCCAACTGGTGCTGAGCTGATGTCAGTATCTCATAGTCTGAGAGCCCTGTGTGCCTTGATAGTTGATCAGGACAGCTGAGTTGTAAATTTCATCAATTGTTGGCTAATTTTAAAACAATTAAAAATAGTTTTTAAAGGACAAGTAACTTTTTGCTGAACTTTTTAAAGCAAAATGCTAAATACTTTAGTGAAAGTCACTAAATTTGAAGTTACTTTAGGAAATGAAAAATGCAGCTATTTCTATGTAATAACAGATATCACAGGGAGTTGTCGTTGAGCTAAATAAGACCAGGGCTTTGCCCACCCTGTGTGGATGCTATGCGGTGGATAGGGTCCCTCCCAGCTCTTGTGGGGGAGCATGAATTACTTCCAACAAGTTTAAAAACAATTATACCAAATAAAACTTTCCTGAATGGAGATAATTTCAGATGATAGCATATATAATCCAAGTACATTTCAGCCTAAAATAGAGAGTGGGTCCTTAAGTGGCCTCTGGTTTTCCTTTGGGCCTTTATGATGTGGAGACAGACTCGGAGCCCCTCATTAGTCCAACCTCTCCCCTGGGCTGGGTTGACCAGACACACCCACTCCTGAATTGCTGTTTCCAGTTTCATGCATTGGAGCAAACAGGGTGGGGTCCCCCAGAGGGAAGGAAGGCTGAGGAAATCCTTCATAGCATGCACCTCCTCAGATCTGGCAGCAAGGAATGGTTTGTGTGTTCAGAAAGAGTAAAAACATTTTTTCTGTGGTGGGTGGGTAAGACTGGATAGAGGTCAGCCTCCATTGCTTTTTTGGTCAGCACATCTTTGCTGGGTATAGATTAGTGACTGCAGTGAAATTCATTTGGCACCTGATAGCTGGCCTGTGGGTGCTGCGGAGACAAAAGCACTCAGGCTGGCTGCAGACTGAGGTTTATCCAGGGGCGGAACAGGATCTCAGTGAAGTTGCTTTCACTGCGGCCAGCAGGGCTGAGCTGGTGCAGGAAGGTGGAGAGCATCGAAGGCTTGAGGTGAGAGGAAGCAGTCAGTACACAGTTGGGACTGATCATCAGGGAACCAGTGCCAGCACGTGCTGAGCTGGTTCTGAGCTCTAAAGTGAGCGATGTGACCAGTGTGGATGGTGGAAGGTATTGACTGGAAGCTGGTGATGGTTGACCATGTATTTCTCTTTCTTGTAGACAGAATGCCTCAACTATATCAGAGTGCTGCAGCCACTCGGCACCACTGCCCTTTATGTATGTGGGACCAATGCCTTCCAGCCAACCTGTGACCACCTGGTAAGGCCTGGGCCCCTCCTGTGGTCAGCATTACAGCAGAGTGGGGCTCCATTAAGGCATCTGATGGCCTCCGTTGTGCACACAGAAGGCTATTCGAACTTCTGCTGTGTGAGGAGCGGTGGCTCAGGCCCCAGAATACTTCAGCCTACTTGCTACCTCCTGCAGGCCCTGGCGACCTGTCTGCAAACCACCATGACTGAGGGCAGGGCACGGACAGGACTCATGGCCCACGGCGCATGCTGGAGAGCTGGTCCTGGGTGACCTTCTGGGAAGTGCACTGTTGACAGGAGCACCGATGTGCTATGATCCAGAATCTTGCCACCTTCTCTTTTGTCATATTTTGTGTTTTGTGAGGGAGGCCTAGCTATGATGAGTGTCTGATCAAGTGGAAAGGCATGACTTCTGGTCCTGGACTGCATATTATTGGTTCACATATGTTATGGGCTGAATGTTGGTGTTCCCTCCCAAATGCATACATTGAAGCCATAATCCCCCTCAGTATTTGGAGATGGGGCCTGTGAGGAGGTGACTGAGGGTAATGAAGTGATAAGGGTGGGGTCCTGACCGGATAGAATTGATGGCCTTCTAAGAAGAGGAGATACCAGAGATCCCTCTCATTCAGACATAGCAGGAAGGCAGCCGTCTGCAGGCAGGAGGAGAGCCCTCACCAGGAACCGGCCATGCTGGGTCCCTGATCTCACTCGTACTTTCAGCCTCCAGAGCTGTGAGGAATGCACATGTGTGATTAAAGCCACACGGTCTTTGTGCTTTGTCACAGCAGCCCAAGCTGACCACGATAGCATATTCGTTGGCCTGGTCTTGGGGCATCACCATCCTGTGTCTCCTGTTGGGGTGCAGATTTCCCACTGATCTTCCCATCCTGAAATACATCCCCTCTGAGAAGTGACAGCAGGACACGGGGGTGCTCGAGCCGTTTTAGAAGCAAGACCATCTCTCCCTCACCTGCATCACGTCGTTGACTCTCCCTAGGTGTTGAGACCCTCAGCCCTCAAAGACAGACTTAGCTTCTTTTACCTTAAGGGAAACATGTTGCACAATTATTAGGAACGTGTGTGTGCATATATGTGGATGTGCTGAAGTGTGGCCCACGACCCTTAAATGCCTTCACAGGCATCTTCTAAGAATGACGTTTTCCTACATAACTTTAAGCTTGTCATCATGTCTAAGGTGATTTCCAATAATTCCCCAATTTCATCTCATCCCCAGTCTCCATTCAGATTTCCCTGAGAGCCCCCAAATGAGCCCCCAGATGTGATCAGTGAATCACATCAGTGGAGTGCATTGTCACCCCAGTTAAAGACCCTTCACAGGCATCTTCTAAGAATGACGTTTTCCTACATAACTTTAAGCTTGTCATCATGTCTAAGGTGATTTCCAATAATTCCCCAATTTCATCTCATCCCCAGTCTCCATTCAGATTTCCCTGAGAGCCCCCAAATGAGCCCCCAGATGTGATCAGTGAATCACATCAGTGGAGTGCATTGTCACCCCAGTTCATCCTTCCTAGCCTAAGAGGTTCTAGCTTGTATATTGTTTTGACTAGTGTCGAAATTGTAACTAGAGCTCTTCATGCACTCCTGAACTTTTGCTTCTGTGTCTGTGACTGTGTCCCCACTCCCCTTGCCTTGACAGGTTTACATTACCGTAGGCTTTAGACCAGAAGGGACGTGTAAGGGACAGGTGGCTTTCCAGCAGGTTACACGTCCCTTCTGGTCTTTGCTGCCTAGATGAGTTTCTTCTTGTTTATTTTTTTTTTTTTAACTGTTTTCCTGCTGGGATGTACTCTCTTATTTGGACAAGCTTGTCATATGTGCAGGGCTGGAAATGCCTCATCTGTCATTTTGCAGGCATTTCTCCCAGTTTATCACGTGTTGAATTCTGCCCCACTTTTTCTTTGTACAAAAGCTGTCCAGTTCTTTATGTGTTAGATCTGTCCAGTTTTTCATCAGATGATGTTGGGCTGTCTCGGGTGAAGAGAGATTGTCCCAAGACAAGAGAAAGTTGCCTGTACTTTCTGTTAGTGCAGCAAATTTCCATTTTTAGTATTCAAACCATTGATCATTCTGGTGTGTGTCTTGGTGGGTAGAGATTCTGCTGCTTTTTTCCTATTATCTATTTATTGGATTGTCCGGCCCCCCACTGCCATCTTCGTTGATGCTAAAATCCCACAAGTGGCCTTCTGATCACTTACTGAGTGCATCCCATATTCGGTTTGTCTTGGATGGTTTACAAGCCTAGAGCCACCAGCATTGCCATCCTCATTTCATAGATGAGTACACTGAGGCTGCAAGATCTTGAGTAGCTCTCAAGGGTATCAGAGCCAGGGTGTCATTGTCCAGACCTGGGATTCCCGTGGCTGGCCACACATACATTATTCCCTTGGTTCCTCCAGAGTTTGGAATATAAAATTAAATGATAAGCAAAGGTGTGTTATTACTACAGAAATTCAGACGTTTTATGATACTCTTTCTTTTCATTCAATTATAGAGCCTAACATCCTTTCAGTTTCTGGGGAAAAATGAAGATGGCAAAGGAAGATGTCCCTTTGACCCAGCACAAAGCTACACGTCTGTCATGGTCGGTGAGTCTTGCTCTGGGATGCTCATCACTGTCAGGGCTATACTGTCATGTCGAGCACACACAGGATGCTCAGTGCCTCCTCCTTCCCAGCAGTCTTCCTCCACTTCCCTTCCTTGTTCACCATCCTCACAAAGCTATGTGTGCCTCTCAGACCCTCTGATATGAGCTTTTGAATTCATGGTTCAAAAGGATAACCAGCCCCACCACAGTTGGTCCACAGGTCAGATCTGTGGGGAGAGGTTATTTCATATCCACTATTTGTGCAGATCGCTGGGGTTACTTGGTTGCATGGAGTTGACACTCCCATTTGAGGGGAAGTTTGTGACTGAGCCTTGGAGTGGACTTCTGCACTGAGGCAAACAGGTCCTAAGCCTGTGTGCACCTGCTGTCTTATTTGTTATTTTCCTGATGCAGGAATTACTTGCTCCTATTAGTTATTAACCCTGACTCTCATAAAATACAGTTTAACAAGGAGCATAGATTATCCTTGTCAAAGAAATGAAACAGAAAAACATGTCGTAAAAGCAGGTAAAAGTGCCTCCGTGTCCCAGGAGGGTCTTGTGTTGGGTTGTAAAGGAAAGTGAGGTGTCGGGCATCTACCCCAGCAGTGCTGGTGCTGGCTGACCCCGCTCTCCTCTTTCCTCCTGGGCCTGAAGATGGAGAGCTTTATTCCGGGACGTCATATAACTTTTTGGGAAGTGAGCCCATCATCTCCCGAAATTCTTCCCACAGTCCTCTGAGAACGGAGTATGCGATACCTTGGCTTAACGGTAAGAAGTGGGCGGCGTCATTGAGAGTGTGTTTCTCCCTCGTCTGGAGAGCCCACCACCCTGCTGTATTTTTCCTTTTGCTGGTACAACCTCATATGGGTGCCCCAGAGCTGGTCAGCCATTGGGGGAGGGGAGCACTTCTGGAACTACATGGGGTTCCACAGCCAGCATCCCTGGGCTTCTACTGTTTTAAGGCCACCTTCACCCCATGTGGAAATGGATCTAGGAGGCTTTCATAAAATAAGATCTGATAGTCAGCAGGAGCTCAGGGTGGTCAGATCAGTGTGCGATGTTCTCATGTTACCTCAGGACAACACGTGTCCACATGCATTCACAGTGCAGATAGCTTGAGGCTACTCATGTGAGGCTTTTCTCATGGGCACTGTCCAGTAGGGCCTGGGCTTTGAAGCCTCCTGGACTTTCGGAGGCTGGTGATCTGAGAGACGAGGAACAGCAGGCTCATCTGTGCAGGGTGGCTGGGCAGCCGAAGCTTGGGCCTTGGATGTGGTGGTTGGGAGTTTGAGGCATGTGCTGTTTAACCGCATACCTCATCTCTGCAGAGCCCATCTTTGTCCATGCCGACGTGATTCGAGAAAGCCCAAACAGCGCCGAGGGTGGGGACGATAGGGTCTACTTCTTCTTCACGGAGGTGTCTGTGGAGTATGAGTTTGTCTTCAAGCTGATGATCCCCCGTATAGCAAGAGTGTGCAAGGTAAGGCCATCCCCTCATTTGTCTTTGGTTCTGCCTTTGGAGACAGCATGTCTGGAGGATTAGTCATCTCGCCCAGGCACCAAACTTCCTCTAAAAAGTCGATTTACCTACCATGCCGTTCCCCCGGGTCTCAGGTCAGTGTGGATGGTCCTTCCTCTTCTGGCATCTGGAGGGCTCCCTGGAAACTGAGGCAGCTCGGGCTCCCTGAGTGACGTGTGATTAGCTTTCTGTCCTTGGGGATCTGCTTTTGAGCACCTTCCTCAGACCTCCCCCAGGTTACAGAAAGTTAGTTTTGTTTCCCATTAACCAAGTTCTGTTGCAATTGGGATTTCACCATTTCAGTGTAAAGATGGAGAGGGTGTGTTTTCTTTCTGTCCAAAATAAATAGGGATGCTTTGATTTTATATTCCTCTGCATCCATATTTCTGAGTTTCAGTATTTCTCTCCAGACCAGATCACGGCAGGTGTGTTTTATGATGGTCACTTAAAAACATTTATGGAGAACCGGCCAGGTCCAAGGCACTTTAGCAAAAAACCTGGGGAGGGAGGGAAGAATGAAGATTTGCTCTCCCACGAGGAGCATCTTTTGGAGAAGACCAGACCTACACACGTGGGCCTGAGACAGACTGGGGAGCCTATGCATCTGCTGGCCCCTGGCTCCATGGGTCACTCACAGAAAGGTGATGAGTCTGGTGAGGTATAGGCCAAAGGGCCAAAGCGGTGAAAGTGTGCAGGATGGCTGCTGTGACACTGAGGGTGGGCAGATTCGAGCAGTTGTTCTAGCTGCCATTGGGTAGCTTTTCACCAACAGGGTTTTGTTGGTTTGGTTTGGTTTAAATCTGTGATCCAAGCTGCATAGGAGGAGTGCTGTGGTCATGTAATTCTCTGCAGCCGGCTTTCTTTTTTGGTTGCAGCTTCATTTCATTCAAGGAAAGCTATTCTGGGCCCAAGTGCCTCATTTATCACCTTACAGGGAGTCTCCCCTTATCCTTCTACATACATATTTGCATTTCAGGGGGACCAGGGTGGCCTGAGGACCTTACAGAAGAAGTGGACTTCCTTCCTGAAGGCCAGGCTGATCTGCTCCAGGCCAGACAGCAACCTCGTCTTCAATGTGCTGAGGGACATCTTTGTCCTCAGATCTCCAGGCCTGAAGGAGCCTGTGTTCTATGGGGTCTTCACCCCGCAACTGTAAGTGCCAGGGTGGGTGGGGGTTTCCTCCACATTCTCACCCTCCAGGTAGTCACATGGCCCCCTTTTAACCAGGAACAATATTGGGCTGTCAGCCGTGTGCGCCTACAACCTGTCCACAGCTGAGGCAGTCTTCTCCCGAGGGAAGTACATGCAGAGCGCCACAGTGGAGCAGTCGCACACCAAGTGGGTGCGCTACAATGGGCCTGTGCCCACGCCAAGGCCCGGGGCGGTAAGTGAGAGGGGCCTGGGCTGTGGGAAGACTTAGAGCGTGGAACCTAGTATGGGGCCCGCCATGCCGCACCCCCCGCACCATGCCGCACATACCCCTGTGCCATGCCAGGGTTTGGGTCTGTCTCCACGGAGAAGAAGCATCCCCCCAGGATTAGGGTGACAGGCACGCACTCTCCTTTTCCTGTGTTTCTCTCTTTGGCCTGTTGTGTAACCACTGTTGCTGCATACTGCCCAAATAGGAGTCTGTTCTGCCCGGCGTGAGTTGTTTTGTGGCATTAACATTGCATAACATAATTGCATCTGTTTCATTTTCTGTTCCTATAGAGAAACACATAATTTCTTGGCAATGAGATGAGATGTACTCTCCATTCATTAATATGAATTACATTTGTCTCCTAAAAATAATGAATTTTATGTAGAGATCAATTTCCAGGGATTTGGTTTCTAGGCTGATTCGGCTGTGTCTGTTCTGTGACGGTGTGTCAGGCTGTGTGTGACCAAGAGGTAGAGCTTTGACCAGGGGACGTGGCCTGCTGCCTGGAGCTTACCCCCCAGGACTGTCTTCTCTCCCTAGGACGCACCTCCGCTGACACCAGTCATCTTTCCTTCTGTGCATAACATTAAGTAAAACATGTTCAATTTGGCATCACAAATTTTGGGTTATGTGCATCAGGAGCTAGGACAAATAAAAAGAATCCTTCATGCTCTTGGCCTTCATACTATTTAGAATTGGACTATTTTTATTGATTTTGGCAATCTTCCCATGGGAGAACTATTGAATGATGTGTTTATTTTTTATTTCAAAAGCTTGAAACTTTTTTGTTTATAAAATAGGTGAAAATTACTTCAGTGACTATATATTATGAAACACAATTATGTCTTGTGGATAAAAACATATTTGCATTTCCTGCATGTTTTGTAACTGTCTTCAGAAAGGCCATCATGGTTTTTCTCTTCTCAAGAAATCCACTGTGAGTCCTAAGTTTTGCACCTCCTGGAAGCCCTGGCTTCGTGCAGAGTGCATGCTGGGCTGCCCATGGGTGGGTGGTCAACAGTAATGGTCTTTTTCCCTCAGTGCATCAACCGTGAGGCACGGGCGGCCAACGTCTCCAGCTCCCTCAATCTGCCAGACAAGACACTGCAGTTCGTCAAAGACCACCCTCTGATGGACGACTCTGTGACCCCAATAGACAACAGGCCCAGACTGATCAAAAGCGATGTGAGCTACACACAGATTGTGGTGGACAGAACCCAGGCCCTGGATGGGACTGTCTATGAAGTCATGTTTGTCGGCACAGGTGGGTCTGGTAACAGCCTTAGGAAATCCAGCTGATTTTGGCTGAGTCAGCCAGCCAGCCAGCCAGCGTCTCCCTCAGGTGCCTGGAGTAATTTGTATTTCTGAGAAGTCTCCACACCTGGATGGCTTCAGATCTGCGTGACCATCAGACCACCTGGGGCACTGGTTAGAAATACAAGTCCTGGCCCAGATCTGGAAATTCAGGTCTGGTAGGTCTGGCTTGGTGCAAAGGGATCCTGGATAGGAGTGTCAGACAGCATGTCCCTCCTCCTTGCATGAGCAGCCCTGTTCGAGACCTGTCCTGACCTGCCATGGGGGCACTGCTTCCCTGGAAGCCCAAGGACTAGGAAACAAGTATTTCTGGAATGGGAGTCAGTGGCCAGGTGCAGCAGTAGCTGCACCAATGTCAGCCCTGGGTTCTTTCCAGCTGTGCCACTGAGCAAAATAAAGGGCCCTGCCCTCACCTGCCAGAGAGCCCTCGAAGAATGGCACCTTCAGGGGGCCAATGGAGCCCAGAACCACTAATAGTTTGATCTGATGGCACAACCTTGGCTGCACTGATATGGGTGTTGGTGTCAACAATGAAATAGTTTATTCTTCATAAAACACTGGTAATAACCCATGCCACTTAAATTTTCATTGATTTTGCCAGTGGCTTTTCTTTTTCCATTTGTAATACAAAAATGCTATCTGTTTCTAAGTTTCTTGCTAAGGAAAAGTAGAGAAGAAGGAGGGTAATTGTTTGCTGCAGTGGCTGACAGTGCACCACTGTCTTCTCCTTTTGGGGTGGGTCAGTGACCTTTGCTCTGACCTTGCAGACCGGGGTGCCCTGCACAAAGCCATCAGCCTTGAGAATGATGTCCACATCATCGAGGAGACGCAGCTCTTCCGGGACTTGGAGCCAGTTCAGACCCTGCTGCTGTCTTCCAAGAAGGTAAAGTGACCACGTGGCTGGGCAGGGGTGGCCTTCTTATGGCCTCGAGTCTTGGTGATCACTGGGTTGGGGCTGGGCAGGCCCCTTTGTCCCAGACTAACCCACCTTTGGGCTTTTACAGGAAGTTTTTCAATGTGCTTGGGGTTTGGGATGGAGGGAAGACACACTGGGGAGATGTAACTCTCCTGAAAGTTGGGAGAATCTCACAGGGAGTTATTGGGGCTGACAGGATGCCATGAGGTAGTGCATGCTGGACTGTGACAAAAGCACTTCTGTGCCCTGAACTTGGTGAGGGTGAGACCCCATCAGTCCTATGCTGTTGGTGCAGTTTACTCATCAGCATAGAAAACCTTACTCTGAATACCACTCCCTCCCCTCAGACGAGGTGCTAACTCCTACATCAGGGTCAGCAGACATTTTCTTTAAAGGACCAAGAGTGAGTGGGAGACACTCTCAGAGACACACAATCTCAGTCTCTGCCTTGTAACGTAAGTGGTGTGGAGCCTCTGTGAGCAAGCAGGCCTGGCTGTGTTTCTGCAAATCCTTAGTGATGGACACTGAGCTTGCAGCAGTTCATGAACTTTTAATTTCATGTCACAAATATTATTCCTTTGATTTTTCTTCAACCAATTAAAAATGCAAAACCAGTTTATAGCTGCGGTGGAGCCATCTAGAGCAGCGTATAGGTCAGATACCAGATCGCCTGGTCCAAACCTGGCTCCTTGGCACCTGACTGTGAGCCTGAGCAGGCCAGTTCTACCTCAGTGCCCTGATCTGTACAGTGGGGACAACAGACCATACATATGAGGGGCCTGGCCTGGCCCATCCTGTGACGACTATGACTGAGGACCTCACTCCTCCTTGTGGGTGTCCCCACACGGTGACCCCTGAGCTGATGGGCTCTGAGACCTTCGCAGTATCAGGGTTAGCACTGTCACTGCAAGTGGCCCATGTTTCCTTTTCCCCTTGGCCTCAGGCCCGCCCATCACTCGGCCTCTCCCACCTGCACTGTGATTCAGGAGTCTTGATCCTGGGCCTCAGACCTGGCAGTCGGCCTCCTCTGCCCTGTTGCTGAGCATTTCAGTTTGACCTTCTGTACTCTCAAGCAGCCCTCCCTCTCCAGGTGTGGGTGGAGCTTCACCCTGGGAGGAGATTGTGCCACTTTCACTCAGCCCAGTTCCTGGAGGGGGTCTCCACCCAGTTTGTGGAGCCCAGGCCATGCAGGCCCGTGTCACCGTTGGCTGTGGGTAGTGGACCATCTGACACTGTTGTTGAAAGAGGGAGACATAGAAGCCCTTCTGGACACCACCACATTGCTCAGGTGTTGGGACCAGCACCTGGAGGCCTCCAAATTGGTGAATACTCACAGAACAAAGGTTGGGCCCCAGTGCAGACATGCGATGAGAACACAGCTCTGCTCTGCTCCATGATGTCCTTCAAGGACCCAGGCTGACCAAGCCCCTACCATCTTAAACTCGAGACTTCTAGAGCATTTGGGTGCCAGTCCCACAGGCGGGAGGAGAAGAGAAGGGACGAGGGTAGGGTTGGGTGTGGGTGGTTATGGCTTATGCACTGGGGTGTGGTTCCGTTGCTTGGAACAGGTGGAAATGCACTTTGCACCCCAAAGCCTCGCATACTTGCTCCTCAGGCTGGTGGGCTCGGAGTGGGTTGGGAATGCCAATAGCACTGCTAGGGTAGCAGGAAGCAAGTATGGAGGGGCAAAAAGAGCCTCCCATGCCCCTCACCAGCAGTCTTTTGGGCTGATCATGCCTGGCCCATTTGTAGAAAGCTGGTGAAGAGCTGCCGCAAAGCTGTGGGAGCACAGATGAGACAGCACATAGCCCCTCCCGTTTCCTAGGGGTGCTGTCCTCGGCCTGCTCCTCTCCCCTGACGACAAGCACATTTGGTTTGTTTTTTATTACGGCAAATACACGCTACATAAAATTTACCATTTTAATTGTTTTTAAGTGAACACTTCAGCAGCAGTAAGTACACTCACATTGTCGTGCAGCCGTCACCTCATCCACCTCCAGGACTTTTTCATCGTGCAGATTGAAACTCCGTCTCCTTTAAACACTAACTTCCTAGTCCTCCCATTTCCTAGCCCCTGGCACCTACCTCTGCTTTCCATCTCTGTAAGCTTAGTTATTCTAGAGACCTTGGATAAGTAGAATCACACAATATTTGTCCTTTTGTGACTGACTTATTTTGCTTAGCATAATGTCATCAGGTTCATTCATATTGTAGCATGTGTTAAATTTCCTTTTGAAGACTGAGTAATATTCCATTGCATGGATGGACCACATTTTGTTTATTCATCTGTTGATGGACACTTGGTTTGCTTCCACCCCTAAGCCGTTGTGAATAATGGGTGTATAAATATCTGAGTTTCTGATTTGAATTGTTTTGGGAATACATGGCAGGTATGCTTTGTGTGGTCATCTTTGAGCCCACAGAGCAGGCTGTGCCTGATTTTTCATGGGAACACTCTTTGGTGGTGTAACATAGCCTGCATAGGAAAGGAGAGAAAATGGCTTAAAGAGCTCACTCAACTCTGCCTACATCCTCCGATCACACACCTCAGGATTAGACATGGTCTGTGTGCGCAGAGACCAAGATGTGACAGCATGAGCCCAGTGCCATGGCCAAGGCCAAAGTCCCCAGAGGGATGTAGGGACCTGTGAGGAGCTGGGGAGAGAGGGCCAGGACCCATGTGCTCTCAACAAACCTCAGAGATGCTGGGCAGTTCCTGATCAGGATATTTTTCATTCGCCTTTAAAATTTTTTTTATTTTGAAATAATTTTAGATTCAAGGAAGAGTTGGGATGATAGTTCAGGGAGTCCCCATGGGCCTTTCGCACAACTCACGCCTGTCCTGAGGGGTTCCACTGGCACATCACTCTCACTAAGCACCAGATGTGGATGCCCCACGTTCCCACGAGGTCCTTTTGGGCCCCGGGCTCCCACATGGCTTCAGGTACCTGTCTCCCTCTTCCTCTCTGGTTTGGGACAGCTCCCCTCTCTGTCCTCATCTCGATGGCCTTGAGGCTTTTGGAAAGAACTGGTCAGTATTTGGTGGGACGCCCTTGGTTTGGGCATGTCTCATTTTCTCGTGAGTAGACTGGGTCGAGGGTTTGAGGAAGGTGACTGTGAAGGCACTGTCTTGGAATCCATGTGACCTCTCAGGGTTACTCTGTTGCTTTTTCAGTGCTGTGCCCACGCCCTGGGGGCAGTGGATCTATCCCACATGGAGGGAGGGGTGTTAGCCCCAGCTCCTGGATGGAGGCATGTGGGCACATGTTCAGACCCCATTGTGGCTAACACCCATGGGAGACCTGGAAGCTACACAAATGCCCTGGTTCCGGCTGACCTTAGCACCCACCACCGGGCCTTGCCTGCAGTGATCGCTGTCACTCATTCCCAAGGCACTTTGCTATCCTCCTTCTCTTTCCATGTTTGTTAACTGGAATCTATGAGGTGCTGTCAGTTGTTTCATGGGCGCTCAAGCCACCTCTGTTGGGGAAGCGAGAGCTGGGGGCTGAGTGGCCTGTGGGGTGGAGAGGATGGAGCCATCCTGGGGCAGGCTTGCCCTCCCCACACCCAGCCACCTAAGTGAGGTGGGGTGTCGAGGGGCCCCTCAGGCAGCCTGAGCCACCTGTCCTATGCTGCATGAGTGTCTGTGCCTTTGCCAGTTTTCTTCTGTGGGCCCCAGTGGCCCTTTGAAGTTGCCCAGTTGGCCTTTCACCCCTGGAAATTTTCCTCACCTCTTCAAGCCGTGTGATCCCCTGACTGTGATCTATGGTGCCTTCACGTCTTACAAATATAGCAGGCATGTGGCCTCTTCTGCCCAGATCTCTACCGCTCTGGACGGGTGGGCACTGGGCCTGCTTCTCTCTGCCACTTCTCTCACAGTTTGACTCCATTGCAGAGGGGACTTCCCTTTCTCTTGGCTGTGCTTGCACACAGTGCTTCTGTGACCTTCAGTTCATCATAGGCCAGAAGGTCTGGGGCAACACCAGAGACCTTGAGTTCCAGCCAAACTCTGAAGTTAATTCAGAAACTGCCCTCTGAGGATAAAGGCCATCAGGTCTTGTCCTAGTCTAGATACTAAACTCTGTATAAACTTGGGACTCTTCTGATGTTAACCAGAGGCCTTTCTAGGACGTCAAGATGACTCGGAGGCTCCCAGGAAAAGGAGAGGGTGAATGCTAGCGCCCGAAGTGCAAGCCCCGTGTCTGCTTGGATGGAATTGTATGGGGGCCCTCGTTCCAGTCAAGCTCAGTGAAGACATCAGCCAGCCCTGATGGCCTGTATGCTAGGCTCTCTGCCAGTGCTCGGCACTGGGCGGGATGGCCAGTGGGTGGGGACATCCCAAACCGAGCGTTACAGATCACTAAGGAGCCTGTTCTGCTCTCCTGAGCATGGTGGTCCAGTTCCCTGTCTACATATTCCCCCCTTGTAAATGCAGACATGTGATAAGCGGATGCCTCATCACATCTTTTATTTCATTTTCTAGCATCGTGTTTATTCTTCAGTGACATTTGTTCACACCTCCTCGCTGTGGGCTGTGCTGCATTCAGACACTAAAGACACTGCTCTCTGTGTTCCGGTGCCCATGTCGGGTTCTGAGACCATGCCCTGTAGTGAGGCCAGGCGTGTCCAGCTAGTGGATCTCCCTCTCAGTGTGGGGCTGAACAGGCTCAGAGATGTGCTTTCCTGGTGGGCAAGGTGATGGTGGGCACTTGGACACGGAGGGATCCAGGTCAAGGCCCAGTGCCCTCTGAGTTAGTGTGCAGATTTTGCTCAAAAACCATGTGCTGCCTGTATTGTCACAAAGCTGCACTCAGATTTGTCCGGGATCTGACCTGGCCTCGCTCCAGTTCTGAGTGAGGGGGAGCTTCTCCTCCAAGAAGCACTTCATCACCACTCCCCTTAGGCTGAGGAGGCTGCACTTGGTACCCCTCATGGTGCCGGCTGCCCTGGGCCCATTCTCATGTGTTTACACCCACAGGGAAGAAAGTTTGTCTATGCTGGTTCCAACTCGGGTGTGGTCCAGGCCCCTGTGGCCTTCTGTGGAAAGCATAGCACCTGTGAGGACTGTGTATTGGCCCGGGACCCCTACTGCGCCTGGAGCCTGGCCACAGTGGCCTGTGTGGCCCTGTACCAAACCGACAGCCCCAGCAGGTACCAGGCGGGGGGGAAAGCAGCACTCAGGTGCCCTGCCTGCCCCACCACGAGAAGCACGTGCATGTGCATACTCTGTGCCCCTTGTTTTGCAGGGGTCTGATTCAGGAGATGAGCGGGGATGCATCCGCTTGCCCGGGTAAGTTGCTCGTTCTCTCTACATTGCCTACATTCAGTAACAACCAGTCTCTTAACCATTTCACGATGCTTTGGTGTGGCATTTTCCACATTTTTTTCTTTCTCTATTCAGAACAGACGTCAAGTATCTTTTGACAGACCCTGTGACCTTTCTCTGTCCCTTTTATTGCAGAAAGGATATTTGAAGGCACACACAGTGTGCCTTCATCTTTTGTTTACTCGAAAGCACTCTCTATCCCAGAATGTAATGTTCACTCTTGAGATGCATCTCTCTTTTCTTAGCTCGGGCTCTTTAAACAAACCTGCACCTCTTGTGAACAAGAGGAAAGATGAGTCCTCAAGCAGTTGAAACGTGGGTGGCATTCCCCTTGGGTGATCCCACCGCCTGTTCCAGCTGAAGGTAGACGTGCCCGTGGGCTCCTGCCCTCGCGTCCCTGACCTGACAGCTGTCATCAGTTAAGACAAGTTTAGGAGGAAGACACCACAAGGCTGACATGTGTGGTAGCCTTGAACAGAAGCGTGTCATGTTTGACTCAGAATGTGGCCACCAGAACACACAACTGGCCACTGCTCAGCCTCCTGACTGACATGTTTTCTCCTGGGAAATCAGGGTGCAAACCGGGATTTCTGCTGCTGAGAGGTGCTTCTGATTTCTTTGTCCCTGTAGGCTGCCATCCAGGGCTCATCTTTGCTTTTTGGTCTCGCATGTCTTTTATTTCTTTAGTTGTTCTGGAAGATTCCATGTTGCTCCAGTGGGTGAAATTCTTGTGTCTTCTTGTGCTTATTGACCTATTTTTAAAAGAAGTTAAGTAGCAAGCAGGGTTGTTGATGCTGTGCACATTTATTTTGATGTTCCAGATAAAATTAAGGAAAGTTTCCGGCAGCATTTTTTCAAGCATGGCAGCACAGCAGAACTCAAATGCTCCCAAAAGTCCAACCTGGCACGGGTGGTGTGGAAGTTCCAGAATGGTGTGCTCAAAGCCGAGAGCCCCAAGTACAGCCTGGTGGGCAGGAAGAACCTGCTCATCTTCAACCTGTCAGAAGGAGACAGTGGGGTGTACCAGTGCCTATCAGAGGAGAGGGTCAAGAACAAAACAGTCTTGCAGGTCGTGGCCAGGCACGTTTTGGAGGTCAAGACTGTCCCACGGGCCCCAGTGGCCTCCACCTCATCGGCCCCTCGGACAGAAGGTGGTAAGATTACCCCTGAAGCATCAGCAGGGCCCACCCAAGACTCCTCCCCCCAGACCCCAGCTGTTTGGGCCACCACACCTTCCAGCCTGGTGCCCACCAGCACATCCTGCGAACCAAAGATCGTTATCAACACAGTCCCTGAGGTCCACTCAGAGAAGACGCTGTATCTCAAGTCCAGTGACAACCGCCTCCTCATGTTCCTCTTCCTCTTATTCTTCATCCTCTGCCTCTGCCTCTTTTCCTACAACTGCTATAAGGGCTACCTGCCCGGACAGTGCCTGAAATTCCGCTCTGCCATGCTGCTGGGGAAGAAGCAGCCCACATCGGACTTCTCCGACTGCGAGCAGAGTGTGAAGGAGACACTGGTGGAACAAGGCAGCGTCTCCCAGCAGAATGGAGGGCAGCCGAGGCCGGCCCTGGACACCGGCTACGAGACAGAGCAGGATACCACGGCCAGCAGAGCGCCCACTGACAGGGAGGACTCACAGAGGATTGACGACCTGCCAGTCAGGGATAAGCCGTTCGACGTCAAGTGTGAGCTGAAGTTCGCCGACTCGGATGCGGATGGGGACTGAGGCGTCGGTCGCAGAAAAGTCTTTGTGTTCGCTGTGCAGTGATCTCGTCCTGTGCTGCGTAGGTAGCCCGTTGTCCACAAACCTTAGTCTTCTGTGTCTTTTTTCTTCGGTCGAGCTTGTGATTTGGTTTCTCTTTGTCCTTTCGGAACACGGCGAACATCACACCCGGGCTCCCTCTATCGGTTGGAGAGCTGTGAGATGTACCTGCAGGTGGTGTCTCACCTGAGCCCTCCCTTGTGGTGGGGAGATGGCTGGACTGCCACTGGCCTGGGAAGAGTTGTACCTTGAGTGTCCCCTCCTCATAGCAGCCACTGAAAGATAATTTAATTCCAGATTGGAAATGACGTTTTAGTTTATCAGATTGGTAACTTATCGCCTGTTGTCCAGATTGGCACGAAGCTTTTCTTCCATGTAATTATTTTTTAGGACTTTGTTTTCATTTTGTTGGAGTGTTAGCTCATTTATTTTTTACTAAAGCAGATGTTTTAATATTTAGGAGATGTACCTCTTCTAGATTTTGTTGTATATTAGGATAGATAAGATATGGCTTACGTTGCTTAAGATTCTCAGGGATAAACTTACTTTTGCTAAATGCGTTCTTTCTGCTTTTAGAAATGCAGACGAAGCTGTCTCTTGAGCACACTTACTTTTTAAAAAAAAAAAATTATTCCTTGAAGGAAGTGTTGTTTTCAGAGAGATTTTCTTTCTGTACTTTTTTTCCTTTCGTTTTAACTCTTTTGAAGAGAAGAAAGTATGGAGGGCTGTCCCAGGACCACTGGACAAGGTTTTGAGAGCAGGGCGGTGGCCTTGGTGGGCCCTAGGTGAAGCTGGGCTGACCCAGAGCTGAGGGGACGAGTGTTTCACAATCCATTGCCCACGGCCACTGGTCACAACCTCCTGTCCAGACAGATGGAACGTTCACCAAGGTTCTGGTCACCTGAACATCCTTTTTATTTTTTGTTTCCATCTCACACCTCTTACCAACCCAGACTTTCCACTTTGGCTGACCTGAGCCTTCCACAGCTGGAGGAGAGCTGGGCAGCAGGGCGGGGTGGGCCTGTGACCACAGCTGCCCACGGGTGCCTGGTGGCAGAGCTGCGCGGCCTGGTGCTGTCTTTAAGGAGCAGTGGGTGGTGCAGTTGCACATCGTTGACGTCACACTCCACCTTCTGCTGTCTAAACGCCCACAAGAGGAGACTTTTTTTCCGTGGCAAAGAGCAATAAACTCTGGATTTTTGTGTGCCTATGTGGACAGTCTCATCTTCCAGCATGATAGGACTCTATTGTTTTGGTGTAAACATTTGTGTTTTATAAGATTTATTTTGTTTTTATTTTTCTACTTTGACTTGTATACATTTGGAAAATAACCGAATAAACGTAAAGCTTATATCCTTGCTGTGGGCATGTGCTTTGCTGCGGCCACGGGGCCTCCTCTCACCCTCTCGCTTGATGTGACAGGTGGAGCCAGATTCCCTGCCTTCTCCGTGCACGGTCTAAGGAGGGGGCCGGGACAGCCCCCGGTCCTTTTCTTTTCCTGAGCTTGTTTCTCTTTTCTGCATGCAGTGTGTTCCTAATGACTTCTGCCTCAGTGCCCTTTCTCTTTTCTGTCCTCTGTCTCGCAGCCTCATCTCCTATGCCCTTCCCTCCTCCGGGGTCCTCCTCCCTGTCCTGTCTGGGCCCCGACTCATCTTCCTCTCCCCGAAGCCCCTGGCTGGCCTCAGGCTCAGGGCCTGACAGCCTCCCGAGGGTCACCTTGCTGCCGCCCTTCCTCAGCGACCAGGCCCAGCACGTGCATGCCCTGGGGACCTTCCACCTCTTCTGCCAGGCCACAGGTGAGCGGGGCATCTGTTCAGGTGGGGGGGTGGGGGGTGGGGGGTGGAGGCTTTCCTCTCCCAACTCTGGCTTCCTGTATCCCTCGGTGATCCCCAGTGAAACTTAATAGTCTGACGCAATTTCTCTGGGAAGCAGGGGCCAGCCAGCTTTTTTCACACAGGCCAAATGTTAACTGTTTCAGGCTTTGCGGGCCATAGTTTCTGTCCCAACTGCTCAGCTCTGCCCTTGTGGCCTGAAAGCTGCCAGTGGGTTGGTGAGGTTGTGCAGCAATCAAACTGTATTTACAAATGCCGGCATCAGGCCAGGTGTGGCTTACCAGTCACTGATTTATAAGATTACTTCTATGTCTGTGAGTTTGATATATGTGGCATTTGGAGACTTCAAAAATAAACCTGAGCCTCCAGAATGGGACTTGCTTGGTGAAGTTTAAATGCAGAGAAGACCGTGAGTCTAGTGGACGCCCTTTGGACCTGGGAGGTGTTCACTGGAGAATGCTGGGATTGGGGCGTCAGGCAAACCCACCTTTCGAATGCATCAGGCTTCGAGCAGTACTTGGTGGTCTAGGTCTCCCCACATGTGGGCATCTATGTAGCCAAAGAGAAAACCACATTATAGCCCTGACGGCTCCATCCTCTCCTGAGAGGGGAGGGATGACATTAATGAGGAAAAAAACAAATCATGTATTTTTTTCTTTTTTTGAGATTTTTAAACTGAGAAGCTGCTAAGAATGTCAAGCTGCTGTCTTTCTCCCTGTTGAGTTGGCTCACAAACCTTTGAACATCCTTTATCTGCCGCGAACTAGCATGTGTAGTTCCTAGTGGTTCTTCACAGGCCACAGGTAGTGGACAGGGGAAGTTGCCTGAGAACAGGAGGTGGTGGAGCCGGAACTCCCAGGGGCAGGTCCATGTGGCCCTCGGTCTTTCCTGTGTGCTGGGACCAGGCCTGCGCACAGACCCCTGGATGCTGCTCCTGGGCCAGTGATTCTCTTGGGGCAGCACCCAGGAAGTGCTCCAGCCTCCCGAGCACACTGGGACCCTGCTCATTGGTGGGAAAGTGGGGAAGACGATGTTGAGTTCCCACAATGTGGCAGAGGCCCAGGGCCCCTACAAGAGGATAGACGCAGGCAGACCCTATGGTCAGGAGCCATGCACTCTCAGGTGTGTGTTACCTGTTAACTGAGAAAACAGACTTCACAGCTGAATCAGAACAGAAGCTGCTCAGGGTATTTCGAACATGGGGAGTTCAGTGCAGGATTTTAGTTACAAAGGTGATGGAAGGGCTGGGGGCAGAAGGGAGGTAAGGATCCCTGAAACGTGACTGCAGCCAGCTACCACTGGGCAGGAGGAGTAGGGTCACTCAGAGCCGTCCTTGCCGCCCCTTGCGGCCACACCAACTTCACTTCATTCACTAATGCCAAGGTGCTTCCAGAAGCCTCCCGCCTGTCTTCTGCCAGTGGTTCCATGGCGGGACCAAGTGGAAAGCGGGAGGCCAAAGATAGGGAATCTTAGCTTCAGGCCTTGCAGCCCAAGCAGGAGCGGTGGACAGAGGGCAGTTTCTATTCAGGGTCAAGGCTGCCCTTGGGCCTGAGGCTCTACATTTGCCCAAGCCAACTCAGGGCTGTCAACGCACAAAATACATACGGTATACTTCACACACCCTGCATGCACATGCCGCACACACCACACACTGCACACACCACACACTGCACACACACATAAACCCCATAACACACCATGTACCATACACACATACACCACACACACATGCCACAGATAAATGACACACAGACACCCCACATCTGGGACCTTTTGAGCATCCTGGAGGTGGTGTGCTCTTTGAGCCCCTCAGGCAGAAGCTGTTGGTGTCTGGGAGGCATGTGGCTCCAGCTTCCCCTGAAGCCCTGTTCCCACTCCACTCTCTACAAAGACCCCCTTTCATTTCTGCTCCTTTCAGCAGGTAACAGCTTACTCTCAGAGACCTCACTGATGGACCTTCAAAGAAATGTTCCTCAACCAGGCGATTGCACATCCCCCCAGGAAACCTGCAGGTCCTATAGGCAGCCTGCCGTTGAGGGACCAGATGAGAGCAGGTCCCTGTCTGAGCCCCTGTGCAGGCTGCATCCCCAGCCGCCCTGCCATAGCCACCAGCATTGGGTGCCCCCGGTGACACATCCATTCTAAGCATGCATTGCCCTTTTCCCCTCAATCTAGCCCACGAGCCAGCACTACTAGTTCACTGTGCAATGTGGGCGTTCAGGTAGATGGTGATTAAAATGGCAGCGTTGGCCATCTCCTGTCTTGCGTCTTAGAAAGTGGTGGGACTAAAGGCCAAGTCTCTTCCGGCTGTAGCCTGCACAACATTGGCTTATGCTTCTGGCACCGAGGTGCCTCCCTTTCCAGGTTACTCCCTGTGAAGTCCCATTGTGGTCTCAGGCCTGTGTGTCATGACAGAGATGGGTTTATGAAACTGTGTCCCAGTGGCTCAGGCTTTGGCCCAACTTAGGCCAGGTTGACTTCTGGTGGGCACAGCCTCAGAGCTTGGTGACTCTGAGAGGCTTCTCAGCTCACCATCTTCCTTCTATCTCCTGACCTCAGCAGAGTATGTGTGTGCGTGTGCATCTCTGTGTGTGTACGTGCCTCTATGTGTGTGTGCAATTGTGTGTTTCTTTTTGGTCCAGAGCACCTTGAGCATTGCACTCTGGCCACATCTCCATTTCCAGATTCAGGCCTGAGTGTGGCAGGAAGAACTCTGGTTTCCGGAGTTGTTGTCCCAACTGCACACTGCCTTCCATCTAGAAGGGACCTATGCATTACAGAGAGTTAGGAGAATATCGACAAAAGAGAGAGTTAGGAGAATATCGACAAAGGAGAGAAAGGCAGTCCTGAGCTGAAAAAATTAAGTGAACATTCAGTCATGCTGTACTTTTCTAAAATAATGAATCCACGGTCCTTGTCACAAAATTAGAATCGTACAGATAAGCAATGAAATAATCCCACCGTCCGCACGTAAGCGTACATAGCTTTATTTTGGCATATAAATGTAGACACATAAGTAATAGCAATTGGTGGTGATGTGTCCTTACCCACGCATATACAAATCATGCACTTGCATATGTGGGTATACACATATAATCTATATAATTTTTTTATGTTTATAATTTTTTAATAGATCTATGTAATTTTAACAACAATGGAGTCTTTCTCTACCCTGTGGCCCCTGCCCTTGTCCCTTATATGACTCTGTCAGAGCTAGACATGTGTCATTTTTAAAACTAAGAATGGACCTCCTATGCTTTAGGTAACATTTGGATATTCGGGTTTGGATGGCCTTTTAGGTTTATGTTTTAACTACAGCATTAGCAATCAGAGCCCTTTACCAGGGTTAGAGGGGCAGTAGAGAGAGGCCTGGGTTTCAAAGGGGTCCTGGTCCCCAGTTCCTGCAGTGATTGTTGGTGCAAGTATGTGTATGTCGGAGCTAAAAGGCCAAGGCCAAGCTATGGAGTTAGTTGACCCTTGAGTTGGTCATTTTCCAGAAAGGGTTACCCTTCCACTTCGGGGAGAAGTGACCCATTCCGTTGCTGCAGTCCCAATGCTTCGTGCTTGATGAGGTGGTTTTACCAGAAGCTGCATCTCTCTCTGTTGTGTGATAATCTGCATGCCTTTACAACAGAGTGGTGCTGTCTCGTGGTTTCTGGAAGTCTCCTTTTTGCAAGAGAGTCATCCACAGAAGGGAATCCCCCACCCCCTGTGAAGCTGGGGGACCACACAGGCACCTCCTTGCACTTCCCCACAACATTGCAAAGCACCTTTTGCCATATATAGCTTCAGTAATGAGGACCTGGGCATTTGGGGACTTACTTTTTAACTGATCACAGGGCACCAGCAGCTCTGTGACAGGCTTGAGACATCCTGAGGAGAAAAGCCAACCAAATCAGGCTGCTGGAGACTCTGGAAAACTTTTTTCTTCCCAGCTGGGCCTGCCTGATCTCTGTGCCATGTGGACTCTGGGCCCTTCATGGGAATGCCTGGTCCTGAGGATCTATTGTGAGTGTCCTCGGTACATGCAATCTAGGGTGCTCCCCAGGTTCCTAGCTGCTGGCAGGACCCTGGGCATGAGCATGGAAGGTAGGCTTTCCCACTAGCAGCTGGCCCTGGGGTCAGAATAGGCCACATGCACAGGACTCCTGGAGAAGGCTTTGTCTGTGTGGAGCTGCCCAGATGGCAGTGGGGGTACCCGGTGGAGATATGCCCTAAGCACTTGGTGTGGATCCCATCACACTTCCCCCCAAATTGGGGTTCTTTGGATCCTACCTCCAGATGGTTTATCCTCCCCCTAGCGGGGAGGCCATTGCTCCCAGGGCTTCTGGTTTTGTCACTAAGTGAAAGAAGCTCTGCACCAGTGCTCTCCTTAGGTGATGTGGAGTGGGGTAGAGCAGAACGGAGCCAACATCCCCTGCCCCATGTCAACCCTGTGGTGGGTGCTGAGAGCTGAGACTCTTGCCAGCCCCACCCCACAGAGGCTGGCCCTGGGTGGCCATGGGGGACAGGCCCAGTGTTTTGAA